ACTGTGAGAATGGGGAGGATCCCAACTGGGGGAGGCATCAGCCAAGAAGGAGATGCTGATGCCTCGGTGCCTGTGGCTAGCCTGTCACAGGGAAGGGGGGAAAGTACCCCTTTCTCTGCCTCACACTGTCCAGCACACCGCCTCATAACAAAGGGACTCAATGCAACCACACTTCCACACGCAAAGGCACACTAATCCATACTTTCACATACACAGGCACACTCATGCAGACACAAGCACACATATGGATCTGTTGTTCATTTGTGTCGATGGCTTCAAGAGGCCATATTTATATACCGCAAGGATGAAGCAGCTTGCAGTACAATGAGGAAGAGAACGCCTGCTCTTCCTATCAACACAAAAGCAAGCAAATCAGCACTGGCTCCAAAAGGAAGTGCCTTCTCCTTGAGAAGATGGCCACAGGCAGAGGCTAGTCCCACGGTCACCAAGACCTTTCTGTGCCTGCTCGCTGCCACCTGCTAAGGACCTGTGCCTCAGACTCCAGGGTCAGAAACACATGGATAATGGCAACTGACACAGGAAAACCCATGCGCTTCAAGAAAATGCACCAGGGGCCAGCACGATGGCTCAACTGGCTAATCCTCCCCTGCAAGCCCTGGGATCCCTTATGGGCACTGGTTTGTGTCCTGGCTGTTCTACTTCCCATCCAGAGCCTGACTATATCCTTGGAAAGCAAAGGAGAATGCCGCGTGGGACATAACAACCGGTTCATTGAGTCCTGCAAAGGACAGTTCCCCCAACAAGTACTTGGGCAAATCGAGACTCTAAGGTAGATTATATCAGCCAATGAACCTTGGAAGGATTTCCTCAACCCTGAAGCAACAAAATCAACAGCATCTCAGAATTATCGAAACTACTTAAGCAGTATCCTCAGAACATGCTCCACACTGGGTAGCCTTCCCTATTCCCAGGTACTGAAGCAGTTAACCTGCTGGGAGGGGCCCTCTCCCCTTCTCTCTCCACTTTCCCCCATTCCTTTACCCTCCCCACCCTAACTGATGGTCCACATGGGCATGCATCCCTCAATTATGTAAACATCAGCAAAATAAATTTATTATTTTTAAAGAAATACTTATAGTCTGTTATGTTAATGAGTTAATACAGCCATTAAAAGTTGTTTAAAATAAATAAATAAATAACGCAGGCTAATGTATGATAGAGCCAGCATCCCACATGGGCATCAGTTTATATCTTAGCTGCTCCACTTCCAATGCCTTCCTGCTAATGACCTAGGAAAGCAGCAGAAGACAGCCCAAGCATTTGGGCCCCTGAAGCCACAGGGGAGATGTGAATAAAGTTCCTGGCTCCTGGTTTCAGCCTGGTCCAGCCATGGCCATTTTGGTCATTTGCAAAGTGAATCAGCAGATGGAAGATTTCTCTCCTTCTCTACCATTCTCTCTGTAAAGCTTTCAAAATAACTGAAAATATCTTGTTTTAAACCTGCCGTTTGGATTTTGGTGAGTTTTTGGTTTATCTTCTGGTTGCTTTATTGTATACATTTTAAGATATACTACTTTTTTATTATTATCATTTAGACCTGGCATAGTGGGATAGCAAACAAAGCATCTACCTATAGCACCAGCATCCTATATGGGCACTAGCTCACAAACCATTTTTTAAAGGCCCCATTGTTGTTGTTGCTAAGTGCAGGGAGAGAAATCCCCCATCTCTTGACTTAATTCCCAGATGCCAGCAAAAGCCTGTGCCAGGCTGAAAGTCAAACAGGATCCCCCATGTCCTTGAGCCATCACCTGCTACGTCCCAGGGTCTACATTAGCAGGAGCAAAACTGGGATTCAAACTCAGGTACTATGATGTAGAACACAGCATCAACCAGGCCAACCATTAGGCCAAATAGCTTTACCATCATGATGATCTGAAATATACATACATGGGGAAGCCCAGCACAGTAGCCTAGTGGCTAAAATCGTTGCCTTGCACATGCTGGGATCCCATATGGGTGCCAGTTAGTGTCGTGCCTGCTCCACTTCCCTTCCAGCTCCCTGCTTATGGCCTGGGAAAGCAGTGGAGGACAGCCCAAAGCCTTGGGATCCTGTACCTGTGTGGGAGACCCAAATGAGGCTCCTGGCTTTGGATCAACAAAGCTGCCTCTGAGGCCACTTGGAGAATGAACCAGTAGACGGAAGATCTTTCTCTCTATCTCTGTAAATCTGCCTTTCCAATAGAGATAAATAAATCTTTTTTAAAAATACACATATATGGTCACTATGGCCACATAAATGACACAGCCATCAATGGACACAGTTAACCTTTAATTACCATGTGTGTGTGTGTGTGTGAGAGAGAGAGAGAGAGAGAGAGAGAGAGAGAGAGAGAGAAAATGTGTGTTGTCCAAGTACCTAAAATTCACTCACTGGGCAATTTTTTGGTCTGCAATACAATACAGTCAAGTCCTCAAGTCGCACATTAGATCTGCAACCTCACTTTCCAGAGATAATTGTGTCTTGGCATCCTTTGGCCTGAACAAGCAAGCAGGGAGCACTAGCTAGCTAACAAGAAGGTGGACAATCCTAGGGGTATACTGTGCTACCCTAACAGTTCCTAGAAAAAAATACTTAGACTGATAACTAAACACATACCCAATTAAAATTTTTCTCCATATAAAGTTAAAGCAGAATAATAAATCAAAACCAGAGAATACTGATCAAGTTGACCCTGAGGAGTAGCCAGAGGCAAGAAGCAAACTGGGAGAGAGGGCGATCCGGAAGACAGAGCTGCAGCAACTTCTAGTACAGGAGGGCCACAGGGCAGGCGCTGCCACGGTGGCCAAGGGGGAACTGTGGAGAAGGCTCAGGAGACACAGACAGCCCAGCGAGCATCTTCACAGAGCTGAGCAGGAGGGAAAATGAGGCACTTCTCACTGCAGGCGCCCGAGCACACTAACAAGCCAGGGCACCTGTGCGGTAGCCCAACAGCTTAAGCCACTGCTTGCAATTCCAGCACCCCATATCAGAGTACAAGTTCAAATCCCAGCTGTTCCATTTCTGATGCAGCTTCTGCTAATGCACCTGGGAAAGCAGGGATGGTGGCCCACATGCTTGAACCCCTGCCACCCACACGGGAGGTCCAGATGGAATTCCTGGCTCCTGGTTTGGCTCAGCCTGGCCTTAACTATTGCGGAGTGAACCAGAAGATGGGAGAGCTATCTACATACCTATACTCTACTTTGCTCCACTTTCTCCAGTGCTCTGCCTCTCTAACAAATCACTTCAAGTTAACCCCAATGATAAGCTAGCAGAAACAAAGCATGGGCCCAAGAGTTAGCCCTAACAAGAGGACAGAGGTAGCTGAGAAGGCAGGTGGGAAGGGTGTGAGCCCAGTCTGGCGAGAAGGGGGTGTGGTGACCTCCAGAGGCGTTGCATTCATGCAGCCTCCCCCGACCTTGTACTCCCATCTCAGAGCAAGGGGCTCCCCATTTTCACTTTCCACGGGGGCTCCCTGAAGTCGTGCAAGCACTTCTAGCCTGGGTACAGAGGCTGGCCTTGGCCAGGGAAGACCAGTTCTGCCAATGCAGTGGGAAAGCAGAGCGCAGTCTGTCAGGCACGATGAGGAAGGACCACAGCAGGGGAGACAGGGTGGCAGGTCCCACAAGGGGGAGGACTCTGGGAGACTCCCCCTGCCCCGAATGACAAGGCGAACAGCACCTGTCCAGAGACACAGCCATACCTCGTGCCTCCTGAGAGGAGCACCCCGAAGGACACAAGATCACATTGGTGCTATTTGCTCTCTCTCCCTGCCAACATGCACAGCCTTAAAGTCATCACAGGAAGCAAAACAGCCGGCTAATCTGAGGGTCAAGATCAGGGAAGACGAGGAGAGACTGAGGAACTGCCCAAAACTTGCCACAGACAAAGAAGGTAACGTGGGATCCTGCATCGTCCTGGGGCAGAAAACGAACATCAAAAGATAAAAACCTAGCAAAACCCCAATGTGGCTTTCAATGACATTAACACTACTGTATCAATACGAATTTCAACGTCTTAATTATTGTACTATGGCTACATAAGATACTACAATTAGGGGATGCCAGGAACTCTTTTTCTCTCTCAGACGACTTTGAAAGACAAAGCTCCCATTTGCGAGCCTACTTATCATTTGTGACTGGTTAGATGTTATTGGTAATTCCAGGGCCCTCCAGCACCATCCTGTCATGCCAGCATCGCCACAGCAGCCATGCCCCAAGGTCTCCCCTGACACGAGGCATCGGTTACAAGCAAGAACACACCCAGTCCACGTGAGAACACAGCTGGCAAACAGCCGAGCCTCCGTCGTCGGCTGCACCATTGCCCCTCGTGGATCCCAGCGAGGGAGGGAGGGAGAGGGGAGCAGAACAGCCATGTCCTTGCAGCCTCACTCCTCTGCCTGCCAGGCCCACAGCTCCATCAAGTGTTAATTAGAGTCTTGAGCAGGTGTATTAAACCTGCATGAGGGCAGAGAAATGCGACATTAACACATTTCCTTTCCCGATCTTAATTACCTGAAAGCTTTTTTCTTTGAAAGCTCACAGGAGCTGGCAGCAAATCCAGGTCTGACAGTGTTTTAGCAAAATGAACAAAGAACTGTGCGTGGCACATCTACCCACACCTGGGACAGGATGCCGCATGGACAAGACTCTGGACTGAATGTGAGTGGCTGTTTGTCCCACGGAGAAGGAACACTGCAGAGAATACAGGTAACAGGATGTCACATGCAAATGGGAACTAACCAGGCCTGGGCCGCGGCTCTGCTGCCACCCAGTGGTGGGCAAGCTCCATGGACTCTGACAAACGAAAAGAGCCCAGAAGGAGCTGAGCAAAGGTTGACGAAGAATCTGAAGAATAGGGAGCAAGGGAGGTGGACTGTCCCATTCTGCCACAGCACTCATTGCTGGGGAAGAGGGTGTTAAATAAACAAGGATATCAGGGACTAAATCAAAACTAAGAGAGACTTCCAGACCCCAGCCCCACACTGGAGGCTTACCTGCTTTGGGTCAGAGGTGGCAGCGCCAGGTGCCGGAGATTCCAGCTCTATGGTCACAGGTCCGTCGTTCTGAATCTGCACTTGCATGTAGGCACCAAACTTGCCATCTGAAAGAGCATTTTGAGTAGTTACAAGGGGTGTAGAGTGAGCAAGCTCACTGTCTGTCAACAGCATGCTCACCTAAGGCACCTAAGTGAAATCGCAAAGCCAGGGAGCAAAACCAGCCCCTCAGCGAGGGGAGAGGAAGCTGACACCATGACCAGGGGAGAATGGCAAGAGCAGAGGAGCTGCCGCTGGCCCTTTGAAAGAAGACGGACCACAGGTTAAGTGCATAAGTCACAAGATGTCACACAAGTTAGGTAAACCATCCCAACCTCATGGAAGGCCACCTTCGTGCTGTATCCTACAAACCCTGCCCTGGGCAGGTGACCTGCTGCCCAACCTCGTGGACTCCATGCTCCTCACCTCCACAGCCCTGGGATGCACATGACCTCCATCAGCCCTGCTCCCATCCCCACAGGTCCCCCATGGTCTCTTCCCACTGGTTTACCCTCCTGGCGAGCCTTCCCCTTAGCAACAGAATAGGCCCCAAGTTGGGTGAAGGATGGTTGACTTTAGCCAGCAGGCAGGAGCACTGGAAACAGTACTGGAGTGGTCTCATTGCTTGCCACTTGCTGGGCCATGGGGTCATTCCTACTGAGTCACCAGATCTGCTCAAACAGTGGTGACCCCACACATGGCCATCCGCCTCAACGGGGCTTTTGTGTTGTCCATGTGGTGTCAAACTAGGGAGAAAGACATCAGCTGCAAAGGAAGTCATGTGTTTAATTGCATGCTAAAATTATGGCTACAATTAGGAGCAAATTTCAGTCGCAGGCAGGCTCAGGAGACAAGGAATTATTTCCGACCTTGAACTGCTGTTGCCAGGATAGACAGCCATACCTCACCATGTTTACCATGCCAAGAAGCATGAAATTTATTTGCTTTGCTTGTTTTTCCTCAGCTAAGAACAGAACTAGTATCTGCATCTCCATTTGTACACACAATAAATCCACACAAGCTTTAAGAGATCTTAAAATGGCAATATTTTTTTCCAGTTCACGTCAAAGGATAAACCCCCCCAGGGCGGGGGTGGAGGGGGACCATGCATTGGCCAGGGGAAAAAGAAATATGTTTTTATAAAAGAAGACAAGACAAAAAGCCTATCAACAAAACACTTACATGGGCTGCTCCAGTGACATCACTGAGTTATTCTTAAACCTAAGTCACAGGCTTCTAACCCAGAGCTGCAGGCTAGGCACGTGGCGGGCAGCTCAGTGCCACATGTCCCAGCAGGATGCCTCCCGGCTGGGCCCACTCAGGCCCCCAGAGAGCACCTCACCCCTGATGCCCACTCCCCAAGGGGTTCCAACCTGCTCCAGGACAGTGAACCAGGGATGACAAGAAGGGTACACATGAGTCAGTATGGCGAGTGTGTGGGGACTTCTAGCCACTATTACCATCATCCCACCTGCCACTGGCCATGCCAGTCTAGGGGCAAGTTGAGGGGATGGGACGCATAGCTATATCCAAAAAGCACAGCATGCTGTTGACAAACAATGGGGAGAACAGGTGTGTACAACGGTTGCTCTCCAGGGGCATCCCCCAGGGGTGGCAGATGAGAAAGCTGTGTCAGTCTCGCTGGACACAGAGCCTCCAGCCAGCTGTATGAGAAGGCCCTCTCCGCCCTCAGACTGCCCCTGTTTCAAGGGTGAAACTCCTGGGAATCCCAGCATAGGATACAAAAAGCAAACAAGTGGGCTCAGGTAAGACTCAAAATAAGCCACAAGATTGGAGGTTTGGCAGAGCAGTGCAGGAATCACTTGGTGGGCGCCCACCCCACATTGGAGCCTGACAACACCCTACTCCACTTCTGATCCAGCTTCCTGCCAATGCACACCTTTGAAAGTACCAGGTGACAGCTCAGCTCAAACCTGGGTCCCCACCACCCATATGGGACACCCAGCTGGAGCTCCTGACTTCAGACAGGCCCACCCAAGACTGCTGTAGGCATGTGGGGAGTCAACCAGTGGTTGGAAGATTCTTTTTCTCTATCTCTTTTCCTCTTTTATGTCCTTCACACAAACAAATTTGAGAAACAAAATAACTCAGTAAAATAAAATGAGCCCATGGACAGACCAGGGCCATCACTCTAGCTCCAGGTGGCCTTGAGGGCTGAGCAGGAAGCCCCCACGGCCGGAGCCAGCATCTGCCCATGGCCAGGGGCCACAAGCTGCTGTTACCAAGGGAGCGGGTCCTCATATGGTCACCTCCACCAAGGCCCTCTGCTGTCTGCACCTCTATTTTCTTTCAGTCTCTGTTGCTATTTGTCTCTCTCTCTCCCTGTGCTTACACACATACACACACGCACATTTGCTTCTGTAATTACTGATAAGCAGTGACACAGCGACCCTAGGGCCAGTCATGTGTGTAGCAAATGAAACCTCACCATCTGTGAAGTCATCATCCCATATGGACACAGGTGTGAGTCCCAGTTACTCCACTTCTGATCCAGTTCCCTGCTAATGCGCTTGGAAAAGAGTAGAAGATGGCACAAGTGTTTGGGCCCCTGCACCCACACAGGAGGTCTGGATGAGGGCCCAGGCTCCTGGCTTGGAACTGGCCTGGCCCCAGCCACTACGATCCTTTGGGAAGAGAATCAGTAGATGAAAGACCTCACTTTCTAGGAGAGAGGGGAGGAAGAGTGGGGAGTGAATAAAAAAAAGGACTTCGCTTTCTCTCTCTCGCTCTCCCCTTCTAACTTGAATTTTTAAATAAACAAATAAATCCTTAAGAACTGAAACCGTGATCCTTAAGCATTTTAAAATTATGTGATTTGATGACTATAGGACATACACACCCAGGGTTGGTACACTGGCTCTGTCGTGTTGGGAGGCCCCACTGGAGGCAGGAAACCCTGCAAGAGAGAGGCTCCACCACCACTCAGCTGAGGACAGGTGGCAGAGGTGGCACCCTGCCCCTCAGATCCTACAGAGAACAGGAGCACAGAGCAGGATTTCCGGATGGGCCAGATATGGGAAGAAAGCGCCACGCAAAATCTTTTGAGGCTTGAGGTCATTTTTTTCTTCTTTTAACCATTTTTTAAGATTGATTTAATTTTATTGGAAATGCAGATTTACAGGGAGGAGAGACAGAGAGAAAGATCTATCCACTGGTTCATTCCCCATGTGGCTGCAACAGCTGAAGCTTAGCCAATCAGGAGCCAGGAGCTTCTGGGCCTCCTATGTGGGTGCAGGGTCCCAAGGCTTTGAGCCACCATACAGCTTTCCCAGGCCACAAGCAGGGAATCAGATAGGAAATGGAGCAGCCGGGACAAGAACTGGTGCCATATGGGATCCTGGCACTTGCAAGGTGAGAATTTTAGCCATTGAGCCATCACACCAGGCCCCAAGGCTTGGGTTTTAAGCGCATTGATTAGAAACTGAATGTAACATGTAACAGGACAGGAAAATAAATAAATAAATAAATAAACTACAAACACACACGGAGTGAGCAAGCTGAAATGAAAACAGTAAAAACAAAAGCAAAATAATGAATGATTAAACAATACAAATAACTAGACTTGCTTAGGCATTAGTTTTCTGGAGGAAAAAATATTAAAAACCCAAACTCTGAAGGAGAAAAAGGGAAGAACTAGAACTAACCATAGTGAGAGAAGAGATAAAGCCCTAGACAATGGAGCTCTTTCCACATCACACAAACATCTGCCTCTGCATCCTGCAATCACGTGAAGGAAGGAAACTGCCGAGTGAGCTCTGCCCAGGCGGGCCAGGGTGCTGGGAAGCTGCCCAGGGCAACAGCCAGAATGTCTGACCCAAGGGTACTCATTACATTAGCAAGTTCTATTACAGCAAACAATTCCAAGTGCCAGTGCTTGGCACAGCAAGTTAGGCCAGCATTTGCAATGATGGTATCCCAAATGGTGGTTCGAGTCCCGGCTCCCTGCCTCTGATCCAGCTCCCTGCTCATGCACCCTAAAAAAGCAGGTAGACACCTGCCACCCACATGGGACACTGGAACAGAGCTCCCGGTTCCTGGTCTTGACCTGTGGTGGTCTATTTGGTAAGGGAACCAATGGACAGAAAATCTTTCGCTTGTAATTCTGCCTTTCAAATAAATATATCCTTAACACATAAATAATTATCTATAGGGTGGGCATTTGCCCCAACGGTTACAACTCCAACTAAGATGTGCACATGCTGGGTCTGGCACAGTGATGCACCAGGCTAATCCTCCACCTGCAATCACTGACATCCCATATGGGCACCAGTTCATGTCCCACCTGCTCCACTTGCATGCAGCTTCCTGCTTGTGGTCTGGGAAAGCAAGAGAGGATGTTTGAGAGAGTTCTTGGGTCCCTGAACCCACGTGGGAGACCCAGAAGCTCCTGGCTTCTGATCAAGCTTACAGCTCAGTTCAGGCCGTTGGGGCCATGTAGGGGGTGAACCAGTAAATGGAAGATCTTTCTCTCCATCTCTTCACTCTCTGTAAAATCTTGCCCTTCAAACAAAAATAAATTTTTTTTTAAAAAAAGATGCTCATGCCCCATATGGGCTTGCTTGAGGTTTGAATGCCACCCTTGGCTTCTGATTGCAGCTTCCTGTCAGCCTGGGAAGCAGCAGGTGGTGGTTCAAGTACACTGGGTCTCTGCCACCCACACAGCAGACCTGGCTTCTCGCGTCCCCAGAGCCTGGCTCCTGCCAGTGCAGGCAGCTGGGGGGTGAAGCAGCAGCTGGCGGCCGTCTCCCTATCTCTCACACTCTCTGCTTCTGTCTCTGTCCTTATGCCTCTAATCAAAACAAGCCAATGAAGAGATAATTTCCATATTGAAACAGTCCAGGCTTAGAAAAGATTAGAAGATTTCCAACATATTGTGCAAGACTGCTATCACCCAAACATTAAAATCAGACAATAGAAAGACTGGTAAATTTAAAAAACAGACAGGTTGGGCCCAGCAGCATGGCCTATCAGCTAAAGTTCTCACCTTGAGCGCACCGGGATCCCATATGGGCACCGGTTCTAATCCCGGCAGCTCCACTTCCCATCC